CACACACACACACGATGCGCAAAACTCCGCATTTGAACAGTCAATAGCAAATACTTAAACTAATAACGAAACAGTAGCTGATTCAGAAGCGCCAGATTGTCATAGCAAAGTCAGAATTACTTCCTCTCCTAGGTTCACAAAACAGACGTCCATAAAATGCATTGCTGTTCTGTTGTAAGTAATTTTAAAGATTCCTAAATGCATCTACTTTCGGAAGGCCAAATAAAGTGCTTTTGCTTTCGCCTAGAAACACACAGAGTCTCTCTGACATGGCTGCTTCAACACTAACTGCAGTTACTGAAACCACGCCTTCTTTCTTTGCGTGCACATTTGGGCGGCATTATGCAAATATTTCCACATAGGGATGTAGATATGTGGGGGCGAGTTAGAACGAGCCGTTTTAGGGGGACGTGGCAGAGTCTTAACTTTGATAAAGAATATCTCTTTGGTTTTGAGACTTTAGTCTTTGCAACTTCAGGGATCTTATCTATGCACAATCAGCTTGTAACACTCCAAAGAGAAAGGAAAACTTGAAATCGCATCATATGACCCCTTTAAATAATTTAAGTTATCTTATGTCACTTAGAGGTCACATGACATGCAGGCTAACAAAACAAAATATTTAAGTATTTTTAGTAAGCATTTTATTTTGATTTGTTTTTATTTTAAATGTATTTAATGGATGGGTTTAATGAATTATTAGCTTTTTGAACTCCCTGCAGTTCCATCACAAACCCCAATCTGGGAAACCCTGGTCTACTGTACCTGATCATGGAAAAGACATTTGTGACCCCGGTATACTATTGTGATCAAGCCGACACCCTTTCTCGCACTGACTGTTCTACATGCATCATATCACAGTATAACACCAGGCTGCGCGTGTGCACCGCTCAACACGCAACCAGATCCCAGCAGGAATGATGACAAAGCTGATTATGATGCATACAGTCTGGGAGGCCTCGTCAGCTAATTGTGTTTGATGCTGCGGCTGATCATTGAGGCCAAGTGTCAGGTTGCGTATTAAAAGAAACAACATTTTCATCAGGAGAGCTTGCTAAAACCATTCTGCTCCCTTTGAAGTGGGCTCATTGAAGTCCCCTTGAAGAAAGTGGTAAGCAAAATGCTGGCAAGAGAGCACACAGCTGTACCCATCGAATGGAAAATAGCAACTGGGATTAAAGAGCCACTGCACAGATGGCCAGCAGCCAGATCCAACTATGCTAAAATCACACAGAGTTAACAATTCACACATTGTGAATTACTGAGGATTCAGAAACAGTGTTTTTTTTTTGTTGTTGTTTGAAAGACTTATTGGGAATTATTGGGAGGAAAGGGGGAAATGTTGTAGTGCAGATCCAAACCTATTTAAACAACATAAGCGCAATAGCTCAATAACACATAATGAGCACATGGACAAGAAATTATGTTTTAATTGGTAGTGCCCAATTCGGTACACAAGTGCTTCCTGACTGACTGACAGCTACTTTCAAATGCACATATGCTTATGTCTGTGCATCATATGTAAATAATGCTTGTTCCTTGTTGTGATGTGTGAAAGGTCAACTGCAGTTCTTGCCAGGGTTATTAATGCAAACACAAGAGGTTTGTCATGAGTGAATGCAAAAAAAGAGAGAAAATCTGATTTGTGTCAAAATATTGAAATATTGTGTCTAATATATAACACCAAGGCAATGACATTGTTTTTTCATGCAATACTCAATTTAGAGATTTTGGGTTATTTTGCTTCCATAACGTCTTCAGACTAGTGGAAAGAATCCACCCAAAATACACATTTAAGTGTTTTGTTTTTTTACACTTTGTCTATTTGTGCTTTGTAGATTTCAATTACAGTACATATCTTTACAGGTCGTTTTCTCAAAATGAGAAATTTGTTCTCATGCGCTGAGCCAGAAATCTCCACTTCAGTAGCACTTACATACATACTCTGTACATACTTTTTCAGAGGGGTTTGTTCATAAATCATTTTCCTGATTTTTTCCCCCCTAAAAATATGATAAAAATTGTATTTCTTTACTGACCGTTGACAGTTATATATATGTATAACATTTAAAAAAAACTTGTAATACAAAATTAAATGTGTTAATGTACTGTGATAAATTAACTGGGGAAGTGTGACGTAGGGTATTAGTTAAAAAAAGGACCCTATTCACCAGTGGTGTTTAGCCTTATTTTATTCCTTTGTTCCCTATTGCTGACTGTTTACCAATACTTGCTTGGAAAAACTTGCTTTTTTAAAAATATTTATTCATATTTGACTCAATTAAAGAAGTGTGTTCAGTGGCGTATTAATATTTTATTTGTAAAATATCAAAATAATTAATATAATACAATTAATGTTTAAATATTTATTTATATATTATGTAATCAAAAAATAGCCATGACCTAGTCCACACAATAACATTGTGATACTTTTGCATCATACCATAAGACATAGTATTATGACAACCTTATTGTTGTCCACTACCAAATTTTGGGTATTGTGACAATCCTAGTGCAGACTGTAAGTCTGTGTCTGTCCAAAAAAAAAATATATATATATTTTGACCTCTGGCTCACTAAACACTTCTGACTTTTCAATGACATGGCCTTCCTGCTACCAGTCCAGCTGAGCGACCAAACATGACACATGATGAACACATGTCGCTTTGCTGCATAGCTTTCTTTCTTGTTTATAATTTGTGTGATCATCCAGGGATTCTAATGTGTGGAACTATTAATTTGTTTAGAAATGTGCCATACCTTGCATTGATAGCATGCTCTGTTTCCTTTTCCTGTTTAGTAAATGATACAGAGGAACTAGGTTCTCTGACGACCCTCAACATCTCTGCTGACGGCAGTAAGCTGCACCTCCAGGATCTGGAAGCACTGAGCAAATATAAGTTTTACCTACGGTGCTGCACGCGTGTGGGCTGTGGACCAGCTGCCAGCGAGGAGCGCACCACTGTCCCTGAAGCGAGTGAGTACGAGTGGCAGCTGTTCAGGGGTGGGGGCGTCTCAAGGGAGTCAGCCTGTGGCATTCCAAAGGACAGGAAATCTGGCTCTCTGGCATGGATGACCAAGTTGCTGTCATGGGCATCGACCCGGCGAATGCAGGGAACATTATTTCGACCTCCCATCTCACCAAGCTTTTCATATGCCCATCTAAGCATTTCTTTACAGCTAAACAATATCATAACAGTGTGCGACTGGGCTGCATTAATCACTGTCTTGGAAGACCAAGCGCTTATTGATTTGGGGGTAAAAGCTTGCCTGCAAAAAGGAAGAAGAAATAATATGTTGCCTTTGGTGATGGAAATGTTGGATTGCTATTAATACAGACATATAAATAAGTTGGTAATCAACATCAAAAAAATATATTAAAAGAAAAAACCACACAACTGGGAATTTACAGCACTTTTATCATGATTAATGGTGCAAGCCACCATACTTATCATCGGCAGTTAGCAGATTGTTGATAAAGTGCTGTTTATTTCCGTTTCGCTGAGGGTTCATAAGGAAGTTGTGTTTACGGAAGAAATATGATCGAGATGAATATCCCAAGGCATAATTCCAGTATTCGGCAGAGTAATAGAAAACAGTCAAGAAAACAAATGACTGCTCTGATGTGAGGGGAGATATCTCTGCATTTCATATATTTTTCATATATTTCTGCACGTTACCATGGCAATACCATGTTTTTTGGCCATGAAACGTGGTGAAACTATTGCATTCTTTGAAGTAGCTTGGCTTCCATGTACATACCATAGTAAATTAACATGTCTAATATACAATATCAAACAAAAATACTGCCAACATTTTTTTCTTAAGTAAAGATACTACAGTCATTTTTTTTTTCATGCATTGGTCAGTTTTGAGATGTTGGGCTAGTTTGCGTCCATAACATGTATTCTTTTAGACTAGTGGAAAGAAAACATCCAAAATACACATTTAAGTGTACAGTTTATCTATTTGCATTTGTAGATTTCAGTTACAATTGCAGTTTAAAAGTATCATGGTATTTCCATGAATTTCTGGACATGTTACCATGGCAATATCCTATTTTTGGCCACAGAACATTCTTTGAAATACCTTAATTTCCATACAAATACCATGATAAAAGAATGTGTCAGTTTTTCCCTACTATATATATATATATCACATGGTATTTCCATCTGATACATAAATATGCCTTTCAAACCCATTCTTTAATAGTTTCATATTTCTGGTGTGACATTTAAAAATATGACATCATATTTTTAAATACTTTGGAATGGAATTTTCCAAGCTTCTTGCTATTGCATTCTCGCATTAATGCTTCGGTAACAGGCACTGCTGTCTTATGAACTAAAGTTGTCGTGATTTCACTGTCTTTCTGTCGTCCTTGCAATATGTCTTTTTCATTGCTTTATTGCTTTTGTTTTGCCAGCTTCAACAGATGTGGCCTCTTTCAACATCAGTATGAAGTCTTCTGTTTTCCTTTGCACTAGAAATAGCTAACACACTAGACTAGAGGATAAAATTGTAGCTGTATTGTATTGTAGGACTCTATCTTGAAAATGCATGTGTACTCAATCATTTTTTCATATAACAGCATAATGCTGTTTTAATTAATTAATTAATATTTTTTTTTATTTTTGCCCTGTCCTTGTGAGTCTAGCTGACAGTACACGTCTTCCATAGATGGTTGCTAAATTAGATAAATCTCACTATAACCTGTCATCTTCTCTACTGTATGTTGGTAGCTGAAGCTAACTGATTGATTCCATTTAATCCCATTCAATCCATTCACAAGATTTCTTGCATAATGCTATGGTTCAGCTAACACAGACCATTTTTATATTTCATTTAGTACTCGCTCATTTAGTACATCACATGGCTACCTCTTTCTTAGCCACATCACTCCCTTACAATAGTTCAAACCATTTAAAATACCGTCTTTCTTTTCAGGAAAATCCGGCTCACAATTTCCTCCAAGAAAAACCACAGTTTCCCCTGTGGCTAATGCTACTCTTTCTTCCATAGGTACTAAACCACACAAAAACAAGTCTGAAAAAAAAATAAACAATTTGAGATTTTATGCTAGTACACTCTACAAATATTCAGTTTTGTAATAATAGAAACATATTCAAAACTTTGGGGTTGGTAAGATTGTTTTTTTAATGTTTCTGAAAGAAGTCTCTTACAGTATGATCACCTAAGTTGCATTTATTTGATCAAAAATACAATAAAAACCGTAATATTGTGAAATATTATTACAGCTGTTTTCTATTTTAATATATTAAAATGTAATTTACAAAGCTGAATTTTCAGCACCATTACTCCAGTCTTCAGTGTCACATGATCCTTCAGAAATCATTCCAAAATGCTGATTTGATGCCCAAGAAACATTTCCTCTTATTGTCACAGTTTTTAATATTTTTTTGAAAACTGTGATATGATTCTGGGATAAATAAAACAGTTATTTACTGTCACAATTGAATGCCTTCTTGCTGAATAAACTATTAATTGATATTTTTAAAATAAGAAAATAAATGAAAATCTTACTGACCCCATACGCTAGTGTATTTATGGATGAAGTGTCAAGGTCTGATTTGTTGGGACTTATCAGACGACTGAGGAATAGTGCTGATGAAGGCTTTTAAATGGATAAGAGGAAGCGGTTTAAATTCTGTTGCTAAATTTTCCCACAAAAGTGGCTTTCGGGACTAGACTTGCAGGACTTGTGTGGCACGAGCTTTCCTCCCTCCCACTGTGGCAGCAGATGTGGACTGACAAACCTCCAGCTAGCTCGCTCAATATTTATAGCACTATTTCTATGTCAAGCAAAGGTGTCACACCGCACTGATGATTAACGCAATTTCTTCAATAACAGTGTGGATGGAAACGCATCACGATTAGAGGATGTCATTCAAGCATGGGGCGATGGGGAGGATAGCCGCAGCCCTTCAGTGCAGATGAATTTCTGAAAAGAGCCTGAGAATAAATGTGTTCCATTTGCATGTTTTCCCAATGGGAGAGGTGTTGTGTGATTGAGATGTGTGGTAATGAGTTTTGACAGCAGACAACAGTCTGCCTAATTGCTACACCTGAAGGTGATGAAAACACAAGTTATCTGTGATTGATATAGCTCCGGTGGCACGCCATGTAGGTAGCAATTGTCCAAGTCGAATACTTTTGGCTTCCTGAATAGAAACAGTGTACGCTGTATTCAGGTGTTTCTGCAGCTCTCAGAATTTAGTGACTGCGTAATTACTACTCTGCGACTCTGTCTAAAATTATCTCTTATTATTTCTACTTATTTCGCCCAGTGTAACGAGCACATCATTATTTCAGGTTGTTAATTAGTCATTTAATTACAGAAGACTCGCAGCTATGTTTCTGATGGAAATTAAACCACACTCTATCATCTGAAGATCTGCCATTTGTTTGACATCCCATCACTTGAATTTCTTTACACTGTGTCCTAACCAGCCGCGACACTTGGGTTTCCAGTGACAAGTAATTAGTCTGACCACAATGAAAGTAACAATGCTCTGCAATGCAACAATCTACCAGCCAATCAAAACACAATTATTGTTCACATGACAAAATTACAGTAGTTATGAGTTCCTACGTAGTAAAAAATGCCTTTGTCAAAGTGGTAATTATTTTGCATTAGTTTGGGCGCTCCAGCATTTCTTACTTCAATGGTTATGTCATATAGTAAAATATATTTATTTATTAAAATATATCTGTATTAAAAAACACATAATTTTCCACATAATGTACATTATTGTTTCTCCTCTATGCCCCGCCTTTCTGAAACTCGTCCATTTTTACAAAGCTCATCGGTCTGAAAAGCGAGGTGTACGCTGATTGGCCAGCTATCCAGTGCGTTGTGATTGGCCGAATACCTCAAGCATGTGACGGAAATGTTACGCCCCTTACCGTACTGTGATGCCGTCTCCCGGAGCGATGAGACAAAAAAATTTAAACCCATTATAAACGAGGAATTTGTTGCATCCAGTGGGGACATAATGGCTGATTATAATGACTTATACTGTCTTTTTATGTGTTGCGTTGCGTATCGCGTTGCATATCGCACTGCGTAAACATAAAACCATGTCTGCATTTGTGATTGGAGAAATGACAAACATCAAGCGCTATTCTACACTGCTCAAAACTCGCGTTTGAATCGTCAGTGGCAAATTCTTTAAATATAAAAATGTACTTACAGGCTGTGAGTCAGAAGTGCCAGACTGTCCTTGCAAAGTTGGAATTGCCCCACTTTATAAAACAGACACCAGCATTGTAGGCTAAATTCTCTCAGGAAACAGTCCTAGTCCTCCATAAAATGCACTGCACACATCTGAATATTTGGGTTGAACTGTTCTGGAACAGTGTTGTAAATACAACTTAACCACTGATTTCTAGTCGTGTCCTCTTTTGGAAGGCCAAACAAAGTAGTTTCGCTTTCACAACGAAACACACAGCGTCTCCACAACATGGTGGCGGCAGCAACAATACTACAGCGAGAATCAAAGTTAAGCCTTCTTTCTTTGCGTGAACATTTGGGCAGAGTTATGCAAATCTTCCCACATTGTGACATAGGCATGTGGGGGCGTGTTAGAATGAGGCGTTTTAGGTAGGCGTGGTTGACTATGAACTTTTATAAAGAATATCTCTTTGGATTTGAGACTTTAGTCTTTGCAACTTTACAGATCTTCTTTATGCACCAAGAGCTTGTAAAATCACATCATATGACCCCTTTAATGAATTAGTTATTATGAGGGTTTCCATTTGAAGCACGTTATTTCATCTGAGGATATAAACAACTCAATGTTTTTATTTATTTATTTTGTATTATTATTATGATAATTCCAAGTTGACATGAAGCTGCACAATATTTTGTTATGTGGAGTTGGATTTAAACCAATCAGATTTCCTTGTGGGCGGGGCTACCTACTTAAAAACAGGATGTGTAATAAACTTTACATAGAAAATTCGCTTTTATTGTTTTCTCTGGTTTCACACCTGGTTAGGACAGTATTAAAGACCGTTCACACCTAGAACAATAACTAAAATGATAAAGAAAACTATAACGATAACTATATTAGCATCCACACCCATGTACAATATCATTGTGTTTATTATAAGCATGTACTGCAGTTCTGTTGTCTGCCACTGTAAAAGCTTGAGTAATTTAAAGCAGGATGGATTCTGATTGGCTGTCAATGTTTTATTGTTCATCAGCTGGAAAAAACAAATATTTTGAAAGTGATTCCAATATATCCTGTCTCTGTTCTGTTATTGCTATAATTGCGGTGACTCTGGTATTCTTTAAATTTAGAATGATTTTTAAAACTATAACTTTATAGTTATCATCCTTGGTGTGAATGGGCCTTTACTGAAATACCTTTTTGTTTTGCAGTGCATTGCAACTTGAAAATGCATTACAAGTCAAAAAATTATGGCTAGGCCAGTAAGCATAATTTCGTTGAAGTGATGTCTGGCAAAGTTCATATATTACATCAAATATAAAGAAAATAAAGAAGGCACTCTTTCTTCTCCAAGTCATCTAACAAGCAACCCTTCCTCATGTCATTTACAGTACTAACCCTCTGTGTCATTTCTCTCTTTTCTCAGCTGTGTTGAATATTAGCACCTCAGTTAGTCACAACTTTGCAAATATCAGCTGGATTCCAGGCACAGAGCAGACGGAGTCAGAGTTATATGTTGCCTTTATGAACAACCGTAAGCTTTTAGTATTTCTCACTCTTGTCTAAATTCTCCATAGTGTTTGTGTAGTCACAGTAAATTAAATAAAAGTTCATTAGTGATTTGTCTTTAGAGCATAATCATAGACTTAGAAGTAGATATATAGATTTGTAATAATAATTTATACCATATATATATAAAATATAATTATTTAGGCTGTCAACTGTGTTTTTTTTTTAGTAAATTACATATAATCTTGATGGAATTTACAAATACCTATAGATTCAATTTCCAATTGTGTTACTTTTTTTAAAGTATTACTTTTAAATGTATACCATGTTAATTTGGCAGCCATAATAATTTTTTTACCTCCCCCCATATACATAATTATGTGTATATATAGTACAGGTTTCTTAGTATACTAACACCACTTCACCCACTATGTACATCCTGTAGGTGAAGGTAACTGGAAGATTTCCGATGCGCTAAATTCTTCTAAGACTTTCCACATCATTGAAGGGCTCGAACCTGGGACTGAATACACAGTGCGTCTTATGACTAAAAGCTGGGTTGATAATTCTAGTATTTTTGAAGACGTTATCAGGACCAGTGCTAAAGGTGAGAAGAACGTAGTCTACCGAGATGACAGAAATGCAAAGCAAAATCGGCTTTTTCTCTTCTTTTCCCATCACGTCAAGAGTTCCGAGCAAAATCCTGTGATAAAATTGTCATGCGTGGTGTGCCTCATGTCCATCCCAGAGCATGTGTTCTGTGGATTTGATTAAAGGAATTATGCTTTATCAGCCTCTGCCATTGAGTAATTAGACGTGCAGGCTGGCAGTTTAATATTAATATTTGCACATTTCCATTCTAGAGTTTGCCTGGTGTCTCTCATTTAGTGTAAGATGTTCTCAGTGGATGTCAACATTCAATGAAGTGTCCTCAGGAAATGTCAAACTAAGAGAATGTTTTGTCTCTCACAGGTCTGGCCAGTATTCACGGAGGCATCTCCAACCAGGGCTGGTTCATCGGGCTCATGTGTGCCATAGCTCTTCTCACCCTCATAGTGCTCATATCATGCTTTGTGAACCGAAATAAAGGCGGAAAGTACTCAGGTATTCTCTCACACAATGAAACAAATCAGTTGCTGCAGAAAATTGCAGAGTTCGTTTGTGAATGTGAACTGAATCTGCTAAACAGCAGTCAGAAAACACTTGCAAATGTCTAAACTGTCTGGAGATTTTCTTTTAAGAATAAAAAAGCCAAAAGGTTTAACAAGAAGTAAAAAACACACTGAAAGTAAGACGGAAAAACATTATATATCACATTCACACCTCGATCATCACAGTAGCACATGAAACATGTTAATGCGTTTATATTTGTGACCCTGGAGCACAAAACCAGTCTTATGTTGCTGGGGTATATTTGTAGCAATAGCCAAAAATTCATTGTATGGGTCAAAATTATAGATTTTTATTTTATGCCAAAAATCATTAGGATATTAAGTAAAGATCATGTTCCATGAAGATATTTTGTAAATTTCCTACCGTAAATATATCGAAACTTAATTTTTGGTTAGTAATATGCATTGCTAAGGAATTCATATTTAGATTTTTTTTGCGCCCTCAGATTCCAGATATTCAAACAGTTGTATCTCAGCCAAATATTGTCCAATCCTAACAAACCATACATCAATGGAAAGCTCGTTTATTCAGCTTTCAGATGTATAAATCTCAATTTTGAAAAATTTACACTTAAGACTGGTTTTGTGGTCCAGGGTCACATTTAGAACGTTTTGCACATCTTCGTTGGGAACTGCAAATTGGGTTTGACTCAAGGTTCTACCCAATAACATTGTTGTCCTTCTAAACTGCAGTAACCTTTACAGCTGTGAAATTTTTCAAATTACTGTACAGAAACAGCATGAGCCAGATCTGTTCATTTACATGTGTTAAAATGAACTTGCAGATGTGCTTGCTGATGCAGTACAATTTTAATAATCTTAATGAATGAAAAAAGTTGACAGAACAGCTGGTATGAAATGTAGTTACAGGCTAAACTTAAATTACTTTTACGTACATGTATTTATGTGTGAAAAGGAAATTTTAACTATTTACAGCATTTCCTGATAATTTCTTAATTTCTTGATTAATTAAATGCACGCTATACACACACACACACACACACACACACACACACACACACCCTGTTTAAAAGTTTGGGGCCAGTAAGATTTTTTTTTTAAGATCAATTACTTTTACGTACATGTATTTATGTGTGAAAAGGAAATTTTAACTATTTACAGCATTTCCTGATAATTTCTTAATTTCTTGATTAATTAAATGCACGCTATACACAAACACACACACACACACACACCCTGTTTAAAAGTTTGGGGCCAGTAAGATTTTTTTTTTAAGATAGTAATACCTTTATTAAGAAAGAATGCTTTAAAATGATCAAATGTGACAATAAATACTTTTACTGTCTTCCAAATAAATAAATATTACAGAAATATTAGGCAGCACAACTGTTTTCAATATTGATAATAATAAGAAACTTTTTTGAGCATCAAATCAGCATATTAGAATGATTTATGAAGGATCATATGGCACTGAAGATTAGACTAATAGCTGCTGAAAATTTAAATTCAGCTTTGCCATCACCGGAATAAATTACAAAAAATATATTAAATCAGAAAATATGTATGTAATATTAAACAATATTACTGTTTTTACTGTATTTTTGATAAATGCAGCCTTAAGACTTTCGTTAAAAACAAAAATTCTTACCAACCCCAAACTTTTGAATGAGTTGTTTTGAGATCGAGCGAACAAAAGATTACACAGTAAGATGATGGTAAACAATCCGGTTTAGTTGAAAGACACTTATCTTAAGGCCAGCATTAAATGCGTCTCTTGTTTTATTAATCATTATTTCTTTCATTCAGCGATCCAATAGCAATCTCTTTGAGAACTGTGTTTGTAGTGACAATTATTAATCTGAAATATTTTAGGCAGATTATCCGAGACGTGTTCATGATGAAGGCTGAACTCTAGATGTGCCTGGTTCGGTGTCTTGCGTTCCACTATTTGAAACACAAGGCTTGTTTTACGCAGATGTCAAACAGTGTGTGAATGCATGAGCTTCACGGTTTGAGTGAAGATAATGCATGCTCAAATGCACCCATCCTCCTTCAGAATCGCATAAGTTTTAATATTTCTATGATATCAGTTCTTCCACTGGGTGTGGGGCTGGTGGTTTCATGCACTGTGTGTTTGAAACAGGAATGAATTGTTATGCTGGAGTGTTTCTCTGTTGCTATTTTAAAGGAGTTGTTCACACAATAATGGCAATTCTGTTATTATTTACTCACCCTCATATAGTTATAAACCTGGATGTTCTTTTAATGTTTTGTTTTATATTATTTCTATTTCAGCCATTCTGAAGACAAGTAGATTTGTGTAAGGAACAGACAAAGTCATTATTCATTGTTAATTATTCCCTTTGTCAAAATGAATAACATAATCAACTTTAAAACGACATTAGTTTGTACGTTTGTTATTTGTTAAACACATTTTGATATTGAATGTTGGGCACAAACAAGGGCTAAATAGTCTCCTCATTATATTATAAGTAAAGCACAACTTAAATTTCTAATTTTTTCCTCACACAAACTTTACATATGACTTTAGAAGACTTAACGTTCAAAAGTTTGAGGTCAGTAAGATTTTTTTTTAATGTTTTTGAAATAAGTCTCTTATGTACATCAAGGCTGTATTTACTTGATCAAAAATAATGTAACAAAACCAGTAATATTGTGAGTTATTATTGCAATTTAAATTATTTTTTATTAATAAATAAATAAACAAATTTATTAAATTATTATGTACATATTATACTAATACTTTTTTTTTAATAAAATGTCGTTTATTTTAAAAGCTGAATTTTCAGCAGTCATTTTGTCTTCAGTGGCACATGATCATTCAGAAATTATTCTAATACGCTGATTTGGTGCTCAAGAAACGTTTATTACAGCATTTATTTTGAAACAAATTTTCTGTAACATTCTGTAACATTAGTGTGATATTTGATCAATTAAATGCATCCCTGCTAAATAAAAGTATTAATTTCTTACCTTCCTATTAATTTCTTAACTTTTTTTGTTTTGTTTTGTTTTGTTTTTACTGACCCCAAACTTTTAAACAGTATTGTGTATAATTGAAATTGAATGCACATATGGACTGTCTATCTCATGTGGGCTAATTGTATATTTTATTATGCTTTTTTGGATTCATTTTGGAGATTGGCAGGTCATTATTAATTGTATGGAAATAGTTGCATGATGATTATTTATAATTATTATAATTTTTTTTTAAATGGGTTCAGAACAAATGATGTGAGTGAGTACATAATGATACATTATCTAGCTCCTCTATATCTACTAGAGGAAGGTACTGGTTTAGCACTAGACCAATCAAAATTAACAAAGACAGCCAAACTCAGTTATGTTTCCATTGTCTTACACAGTGATAATGATGAGAAACCACTGAAAAGCAGCCAGCATTCATTGAATGGTGACTTGAAAGGAGGGGACAGTGGAGACAGTATGGTGGACTACGGCGACGAGGACGCTCACTTCAACGAGGACGGCTCTTTTATTGGAGAATACTCCGGACGCAAGGAGAGGGTCTCCATGGAAATCAAGGGAAACAATCAGAGCACAGCATAATGGACCACGGACAATTTATTTTGTTGGACAAGCTCTCACAAAAGGTCAGTGAAAAGGAAACAGAAGGAAAAAAGCGCAACATAACGGCACCCGAAGGACATTTTTGCAAATAATGTGTTATTGTCAAACTCTCAGTCATACTCACATCATTTTACAAAGCTTAGTTTGTTTTGCACACTGTAACTGATCAATCATGTCAGTTGTGTATACTTTTGTGGGGTGTTTTTGTATTAAATATTTGAAAATCATTGGTGACTTTGGAGCTACCAGAAAGTTTGCTAAAAGCAAACGCTGTACACCGTTTTTGCTTTCTTCGTGTCATCATGTAGCCAAGCAAGTTTTATGTCAGGGTATGAACTTTGTATTTTATTTTTCGTTGGAAGCAAATATTATTGACATTTTATATTTCAGATACTGTATACTGTGCATTCATTAAATGTGGGAATATTATGTGTACAAAGGAGTTGTTGGTTAAATAATTGTAATTTCTGTCGAAATCCAAAAAGCGAAAGGCAACATAAGGGTTGACACAATTAATCACATGCTTTGTTGAACATTTTTGCATTGAACTGATTATTATTAACGGTTCGTGCTATACTAACAAGCTGCATAGCCATATTCAGTACCATATAAACCCTACAGTGAGTCTTCTGCTCTTAACCCATTAGCCATAAATCAGTATATCATCAACTAGGCACACACTCAATATTCATATTTAAAAAAAAAAGACGCCTCTTTTGCCTTAGAATGACCTTGATGTTCTGGAAAGTATGACGTAATGAATCACACTCTCATGGATTCCGTGAAACAGAGTTGGATTTCCAAAATTCCACATTGGCATTAAATCCTATGAAATAGTTGTATCCATAAATGGACAATTCAGAAACAACACAAGTCCTCCAGAAAATGCATTTTTATTTGTTTTTGCAATGGCTCCACATAGAGTCAAACTCAGATTCTGTACAATGTTTCTGTAAATTCTGTTTGCATGTTGAATGAGGTTTGTGTGCAGATTTGACATTAAATTGTATCATTTTTCTTCACTCTGGGTTTGCTGAATGCAGCATCACAGCCTTTTGCATCTTGAACCTTGTGTGCTGATTAATGCCCGATTGCATGTAACCTATTGTGGTGCTTTTATGAACGTGCGGAAAACATCTTACATAGCTTTCATATTCCAGGCCCACTGCTGGATACATTAAGGTAAATGCTGACTGAGGGTGACAAGGACTTTAAAAAACACTGGAGTTAACAGAGCAAAAAGTATTGGATACTGCAAAGAGTCTATGAAAAGATATATCGTAAGTAAAGATCTATAAAATAGTACATCTCTTTGAGAGCTACGCACCATAGATTCTGCTATATTCCTGGAATATGGTTTTACCAAGCATATCAGACATTGTTCTCAATAAGCTTTCATCCCAGAGGAAGTCAATGTATTTGGCTGTAAGAACATGGATGTGCTCTGTCAGGGAAATAACCTCAGTGAAAGTGTTGGAGCAGTTTGAAATGAGACAATGGGAAGAAGAAGAGAGGGGTCAGCCACTCTTCTGATGTGTTCAGCATATACAGATACGGCATCTCGCAGCAACACAGAGATATCAATTATGCAACATTTTTTACTGAGTGAGCAGCCTGAGGATACAATAGATGAAATCCACTAAATAAAAAGCTGAAATTGTATTAGAAAGCCCAAATATCTGCCTCTGTGGAGCAACACAATAAAATGAAAATATTTGCAACTTCAATTATAAGGTAGGAGATAGACAGACAGACAGACAGACAGACAGACAAGTAGATAGATAGATAGACAGACAGACAGACAGGTAAGTACATACAGCGATAGATAGATAGAAAGACAGGTAAGTACATACAGCGATAGATAGATAGAAAGACAGACAGGTAAATAGATAGACAGACAGACAGACAGACAGACAGACAGACAGACAGACAGACAGATAGATAGATAGATAGATAGATAGATAGATAGATAGATAGATAGATAGATAGATAGATATTTGTCAAAAAGTGTCCTTTCCAAAAGTCTTACTGTACATCTGAAAGAATAGATGAAAGCTTAATTCATCATAATTTTTCTCTTATGTAAAGCAACTTCAGCAAAGTAAAGAAGAAGCAAAGTAATCTCTCAGAATAGCTTTTATTTGACTACTGATACAACTGAAGGTTAACTCAATGATACATTTAGTGCTTGAGTGTTTTGGTCAAGGTTTGGCTGGTTAGCATGACCCAGTTTGCCCCTGCTGAGATCATGCACATTCTTGCAGCAGCACCATCAACCAATCAGTTCCTTGCTGTTGCAGAAATATCTGGACATTTTTACATTTCTAAAAAAAAAAAAAGCAATTTTGTCATATCTTTATTAAGAACTTATTTCAAGCACTGAGTCAACTTTGTAAAAACTCATTTTATTTTCATTACCCAATCCTTAGCTTGAGACTTATGCATTGGCTTTACAGTACACATGAGATCTGCATCCTCACAATCTCTTTATACACTATCTCTATAATTCACAACTTCGCATTTCACTCTCCTCAAATTCTCACATTTTCTATGTGAGCTGAATTTCATTACTGCTATCTTTCACACGTAACCAGAGTTATAATTTCTCTCTCCCCTGTTAGCATTTATTTTTCTTTTGGAAACTGAAACATATACTAGTGCAATGCCTACATTTTCTATAATCAATTTTGCATTACATAGAGAAACATTAGATGAAGCTTCTGCAGCATCCAATCAACAGCCATCTCGTTTTTACAATTAGGAGTCTAGATAGCAGCCTGACCCAGAGATGCTGAAATATTTGTGTATTTCATTTATTTAAATTTCTTGCATGTAGCTAGAGACAGACCTCAAGTGAAGATGAGGCCGCAGCGTAGTGCTCACAGAGACAGTGTATTGACTGTATTTTCTGCAGTCTCTGTCTTCATTACTTGCTGGAGCTTAGCAATGCATATTTTCTTTTGCTTTAAAATGTGATACCTAAAATAAAAGAGCAAGTTTCAAATTAATGATAAATATGGCTAAAGTTTACTGGCCGAGTAAGTTACACTTATACAGAATTTACACTAAATAAATACAGATATTTGAGTTAAAATAATATAATATTACTTGTATATTATCGTAAATGTTCTTCTAAGAAAAAGATTAATTACTATTACAATGCCCAAACATTTGACCTAGCAACACAATGGACACTGTAACAATATGAGGACTTCATTAATGGTGCGTGAAGCACAGTTCTCACAAGTTACTTTCAAACCAAGCCGTTTTTTGTTGGTCAGTGTGGCAAATTCACATGTCCAACTTGAACACCAGTGAAATCTGAGTTGAGAACTTTTTTCGCCATTGTGCGAAACTCCATTTGTGCAGGCACATGTACAGTACCATTGTTCTGCAAATTTTTGTGGGCAAAATTCAGTAATTTCAATTGGAATTACATGATTTTGCATGAGGATAACAGATTTCACCACTGGTTCAAGTTGGTCATGCAGATTTGCCATAGTAACCAACAGAAAAGGTTTGAAAGTTACTTCTGTGTGAGATGTGCGTCACGCATTTCTGCAAAATTTGGCTGATGTGACTGCATTTTAAGTGTGACTGCACTTTTAGAATCAAGTATTCCGATGTTGCTGATACTCCAAGATATTGGTTTGTATATGTTCTGGAAGAAGGGACCAGACTGCAACCAACAATTTGTTTCAGAACACATGGTGTGACTGACACATACCAGATGCTTATGGTGAGGTGAGAATTGATTCAACAATGGCAGTGTAAGACTAAAAAGAACTGTAGAACCGCCTGGTGCACACTGAACTTCTAGATGTCTCATACAACTTTGAGAATACAACCTTTTTAGTTCTGAAGACAATGTTACTTTCCCATTTGAGGTTTTTAGTAATGATGGCTCCAAGGAACCTTAAAGTCTAGACTGTAGTGACAGTTTTGGTGATTGAGACCATCAGATTGAGAAGCTCTGGAGATATCTACTGACTTCATAGCATTTATCTGCACCAGGACACCAGATGTTCTACCTCCTTTCTTTATAAACAGGTTAATTACAGTCGCTCATAAGGCCAATCAGTGTGATTACGATTATTTGTGATTATGTGTCAAATATGTAAACAATTTACCATGCTACCTGAATATGCTTATTATTAATTATGTTGCTAGGCAGCTGATTAAAAAGTCCTCAGATTATGGAAGACAAATACAATGTAGATCATGTTGGTTGTATACATACTTTCATTAATATGACCAGTGCCTATACCTCATAATGATTAATCTGTTTCTGATATGGTGCATGGCATACAAATAAACACCCGTGTTTATTTGACAAACGACTTGACAAAAATGCTAGCAAATGATTTCATTATACTGCCTTCAAAAAACAGGGAGCATATATAGCTTTATATAGCCACATCATTCCAATATTTCCTCCTTGTTGATTCACAGGGGTAATTAAATTAAATGTAGTCAGACTCTGATGCCATATGCATACCTCGCTGCCTCGATGGAGTGGGAAGGGCAGACTCAGTAAAATACCATTACTCAGATAAATAGAGCTAATTGAGCAAAACAGGTATTGGCTTTATTGAACAATAAATCAGATGCCACCCTCCCCACCAAGAAGCAAAGGAGGAATTTAGAGATCACTACTGCCTGCGACAACACTGCTTAATTCATGCAATTAATGTGTGTATTAGAGGTTTATGAATGTGCTATGGAGAGACAACCAGAATATATAATCCATAGTCATAAACAGAAACACCCAAGTGAGTGTGTTTTCAACAGGGTGTTATAATGTACTATTGTGCTTTGAAGAAACAAGCTATCAAAAATTCAAAGCAATTTCCAGGCTTTTAATTTCTGTATGAAGACCTTAGCAAAAGCAATCAATTGCTCTGCTCCAAAACTTAGTGAGCAGCTTATAGAGGCAATATTTCAAGGCATCAAAATGTAGGAAGATGCTGGATACACTG